AGTACATCTCATAGTCTCTGATTATGGGTGAGTTGAAATATGAAAAAAAGTGGAAGCAGTCATGAAAAGTCTCATCGTTGACTAGATTCAATAACCAAGTTTTATACCATCAAAATTTCAGGCATATCAGAGACGGTCAAGGAAAACCTGTTCTAAAAATCTGATAATTTGAGATGGAATGACCCTAAAATAACCTCCTCCATTATGTGTTGTTGAGCCGTTCTCTCAGAAGCCGACACCATCAAGATGGCTTGTGATTGTACAAAAATAGGTTTTCATAGCATTTCACCAGCTCCTTCTTGAGAGTAAATCCATGATTCGCTGCAGCCAATGGAATGATTCACTTTGAAATTTTGACATTCTGAACACCAGTGTGACCAGGCCTTTCTGGTCCACACACAGATCTAAACCAGAGGAGTTTTAGAAACACTTGCCACTCCTCCATAAGATCTATGGGTAAATTCCATAAAGATGGCAGCAGTATAACACGTCACAACCTTTCTCACAAAAAGACCAATGGACTGCTTTGTAACCGCCAAACGGAAATCTTATTTTGGTAAAAATCTACCAAACTCTTTGGAGATTTTTCCGCTTATTGATGTGTGATTGGGCTTCAAGGTGGCTTGATGGTTAGTACCATCGCCTCATAGCTAGAAGTTCTGGTTAGGACGCCCGGGATCTTTCTGCGTGGAGTTTGCATGTTCTTCCCGTGCAGCATGGGTTCTCCAGCTTCCTTCTACAGTCCAAAAACATGTTGAGGTTAATTGGTGATTCTAAATTATCTGTTGGTGTGAATGTGAGTGTGCTTGGTTGTCTGTCTCTAAGTGTAGCCCTGTGATAGGGTGAAGGCAGGGGACACCCTGGACAGGTTGCTAGTCTAAGTCAGCTGGGATAGACTCCAGCCCCCCCACGACCCTAGTGAGGATTAAGCGGTGTATAGATAATGGATGGATGGATGATCTGTGATTCCCCACATGCACATTTCATGTCCAGATGACCAACGAAATTGCAGCTACGGCTCTCTCCCCATGCATTTAGATGGAAGTTTAGTGTTGTTATCCCAACAGAACTGCGAAGGGATGTTACCAGACAGCTGCCAAGTAGCGACACTTCTATAAGGACATTGTGGAAACCCGGACAACTCTCTCCCTAAGGTGCAAGTCAAGCATCAAGTCTTGAACTGACAAGTCTCTCTCACCTCCAACTGTTAAATGTTTCATTTCCAACCACAAATCACATTGTTAAGGCTCAATAACCATGACACAAGGAAGAGAAAAGAAACATAACACCGCAGCATCTAGACAAATGTCCACATTAAGCGCCAGTCCACTAACACTATGCACCTGTTCCAGCTCTGCTTTAGCTACATTATCAGCATCCTTTGGTTCTTCTGCTGGTATAATGAGCAGGTGGCGTCCTATTGTGTGGCACTGTTGGAAGTGAAACAGAACAGAAACACATTTAAAATCTGTAGTGTTGTGTGCGGGTGCCAAAGTAAAATGAGAGAGGGGAGAAACAGATTGCTGAGAGGGAGACAGTCGGAGGGAGAGAGGGGAGACTAATGAAGGTTACAGAGAAGGAGAAAGTATGAAAAAGCAAGCGGGAGAAATGAGTCTGGAATGATAAAAGGAAAAAAAGAGACAGTGGGATTGTTGAGGAGTCTCTCTGGATTTGCAGAATCCCCTCAGCCTCCAGTTTTGGGACACACTGACACACTTACTGCCTGGTGAGCCCTCTTTCTTTCTCGTTCTCTCTTTTTGTTTCCCTTTCTCCACTTTCTTTCACACTGGTAATGAGAACTGTAGGTGTCCGCCGACTGTCACATACACACCGCCGAGCGTTTAGCAGCAACACACACACACACACACACACACAATATTCTTGGACATCTGCCACGCTGCCAGGACACCTACAGTGTGATGCGGAAATAGGAGGAAACCATAAGGATCATTTTTGAGTTAGTTCCAGCCAATCTCTATACAAACACCATACTTTACACTACATCTGCTGCTGCAGTGTTATGCCAAATGAAAACTGCCTGCACGACTTGTTTGGGTGTCAAGTGCAATTTGGTTCAACTCACACTGAGCGGTGTGCCGTATAAGCAATGCTAGATTCTGACCTTAAAGGTAAAGTTGGAAATGTTGGGAGACACGTTTATTTGCTGTCTTGCTGGGAGGTAGATGAACTGGTAAATGCGCATATGGAGGCTGCAGCCAGTTAGCCAAGGAAGCTAACCTTGATTTTTTTTATGCTAAGCTAAGCTAGTTGTTATTTAACATGAAGAAAATGCACATCTGAACTAATGAAAATAGTCGGGAAATATACATTATCCAAGTTAAGAGGTGGTGTAGATAAAAGGCTTAGGCTGCTAGACTGTTGTATTTTAGTGTGGCCCTAAACTTTGTACCTTCCGAGCGCATAAGCTGCCTTTAGCAGAACCTATTTTATCGCCATTTTAGCTGGAGAAAAACAATGCTACTCTGGGATAGGTAGCTCAAAAAAACTGCTGGGCGTAACTGGATGCTGACTGGTTAATGTAGAGAGAAAAAAATCATCATATGGGTTAACATAACAAACCCTCCATTGTTCCATTTCCTTCACAGAACAGGAAGTACATCAACTAACTGCCCTTTGTCATTGTTTTGCCACACTCAAAGAAGAGAAAGCATTGAAAGGATCAATTACAAGACCTTTCCTGGAAACATTGACATCACCTTTCACCCGACCCGAGTTCACACAGTGGAAAGTTGCCTATTGATACTAATCTCATATGTTGTACAGTGACGAAATGCAGCTAGCAGCTGGTTCGCTAAGTTAGCATATAGAGCTGGAAACACAAGAAAACAGCTAAACGATGAATTTTCTTTATTATAATTTTGCTTTAATGAAAACTGAACAAAGATAATGAACTTTAGAGATACATTAGCCAAAGTATGCTACACCGTGCTTACAGTCTGTATGCTAAGCTAAGCTAACTGGCCACTGCATTTGCACTAAACGGACATGAGAGTGGCGTCAGAGATGTTACAAGGGAGAAACTCGCGACTTGAAGAATCTTAAATAGAAATCCATGGGGGGAATTTGTTAATGCTAAAAAAGGCTTTTTAAACCCTATTTCAAGGCAAAATGACCAAACTTTTTCAGTGTTGTTTTATTAGATTAGACTGGTGGTTCTCGACATGCAGTTTTTATATTCTTGGTGAGGTTTTTGAAATTCCAGTTTCTCGATTCATTTAGATTGGGGGCATTGTCCTGCTGGCCAAGCAGTTAGACTTGCCAACTCCCTCTTTACAGTCACAGTCTAAGCTTAGCTAAGCTAAGTAACGACTGTATCTATCTACATTTTTACCACACAGACATGAGAGTAAATTCAATCTTCTCGTGTAACTTTTGGCAAAAAAAGCGACAAATTTCCTAAGATGTCATAGTATTCCTTTAAACATCATTTTAATTTTCCTGGCCACATCCTTTTTATGCATATTTAAATAGCCAATCAGTGTTAAATTACTTGGTTCCCATACAGTTGCCTGCTTGTGCCTTTGTTTTGGAGCCACGACCTCCTAGAGTTTCTCTTAATCGGCATGGCTAATTTTCTTGCACTCCACCCAGGCAGACGACGCAGACATCCACCGTCTCATTAATGCACGGGGGCATTTAGTCTGAGGGCATAATGAGCTGGAGATTGCAGCGCTGTGGATAAGGTTCATAAAAACGGCATCTAGCAGCGATACAAAGGTAATGGTAGTGATAATATTTTTTAAGAGCCTCTCACACGGCAACTGGCTGCCTTGTTACAATTAAACATCATTTTCATCAATTAGCAATCTGAGTTTTGAAAATGCATACACCTAATCTGACCCTTTGGATGATACTACATGGTATGTTTTACATTACTGAACTAACCAGCATCCAGCAGTATTGTTCAGCATCATTAAGCCATATCCAGTTTCTCCGCTCTCTGTAACAGTGTAAGCTACTAAATGATGAATGAACCCAGGCCTGACGTTTGAATGTACTGTACTCAACAACAGAGCAAACTCGAAGCACGTGTTCGCCCACAATCAGCTCCAACCATAGTGCTGCTATAAAACCACGTAACTGTCCCCTGCATGTTCATATAATTCCATACAAGTTGCTCTAAACACCTGAAACCTGGTAAAACATCAGTGACAGCCTCCAGAAAGCAATCGGAGACAAGAAACGTGGCATTTTTGACAATGTGTTTTTACCAGATTCGCACTTGGTGACACTTCCTATCTAATCAACACATTCCAACCAAGCCCAGTGCAACATGACAAGTTATTCATTCACCTTATTTTACTGCTCGTTTTTGGAAACAACATAAGAATATGTGGCCACTGACGTATTTGAAATTCAAAATAATTCTTATTTGTGTGTTTTTTTTTACCATTCGCTGGGAAAAAAAGTCAACAAACTCATCGAACACATCAATAAAAATCGTATCTTTTGTTCAAAAACATCAAAAATGCCACAGCGGAGGAGGATTTTTGCACGGCAGAAGCAATAGACAAAAAAAATAATAATAAACTGCCATATGTTAGGTTAGAGAAGTCCACTTCAGACAAACAACACAAAAGGCAAAAACAGCCGAACACATTTGCTGCTTGTCCTTTGAACTGCATTGCCTCTTGCACAGTCACAGGCAAGAGGAGATGTGATGAATTCCCCCGGAGCCACAGCGGGAAGAAGAAGACGCTGAACTTGTTCTCACATCTGCTGCTGAAGAGAAATAACTAGCTGCACTCACTTTGATGGAGAGACGAATGCACACACACAGACACGCTCCGGCTTTCTGCCTGGCTGCTTGGAAGTAACTCATTTTTTTCTACATTTCTTCTCTCCAACTCAACCTGTCTTGACTTTCTTGCTGGAGGAAAATACCAATTCTTTCCACACACCAATACAATCCTGCCACATTTAACATCATCGTCTGCTCGTCACTAAGTTTCAACCGCACCGAAAAACCTCTCTCTTACCTGTGCAATCTCATACAGCAGTTTGTAGTGTTCCTCCCGTTTCTGCAAGGTGCACAAATTGCAGCCCATTCTAGTTGTCAGGGAAACAGCGCCGAGTGCCCGCTGGAGTGTGTGCGCGCTGTCTGCCGTGTTTGTGAGCTTCCCCCCGGGGCGAAACACACTCGGGCTCCTCTTCCTTGGCTCCCCCACACCTCTTTTCTCATCCGAGTATCCTCAGAGATCCCCCTCTGTCGCTCTGAGCGCACATGTGTTTCACTGTTTCAGCTTGTGGAAACCTTCACTGTGTGGTGTGTGTGTGTGTGTATATATATATCAGTTATTGGACGAGTCAAACCCTCTTTGCCTGTCACTCCTTTCCTCCCCCCCTGACTCTCACTTGCATGCCTGCATACACTCTCTTCCCTCCACCTCCTCTCTCAGTGTGAGCAGCACTCTTGTTTCTGCACACACTTTTGCCTGGTGGAGACACACCTCCTCCCGTGGCAGGCTGCCTCACACATGCCTGCTCCTACTCCAGCTCATGAATGCACGGCATCCTCATTGGCTGTTTCGTGGGAAGGGGCTGGGAGAAGAGGGGAGGTGGGACTGGTCCTTATCTTGGGAAGATTCGGTATCTGAACATCAGTGTGGTTGCGTGCAAGCAAAGCGAAGGACGTGCTGCTTGTGTGGGGGGTACGTTTCCTCAAGAGTGCATCTGTTTGTTGCATTTCAGAAATACATAGAAGACACACTCAGATATAAGTTAAAATGCCATCATCAAACCACTGAGAGGGTTATTTGTCAGTACCCACATTTAACAACTGGATTTGGCATGGAGATCAATCTCATTTGGATTCAATCAGATAGCCCCTTTGCACTTAGCACAATGCTTGGAGGAGTGGTGTTTAGTGGCCACCATAGATTTACAGTCAGAGGGCGTTAGTCACCAAACAGATGCTCCCTCTCTCTTCTCTCTCTGCCGGCAGTTAGACAAGGGCACCGGACTGAGCTGACACACAGGAAGAAACACAGACTCGTATTGATTGGCTTCAAATTAGCTTCCAGCCCAACTGGCCCGTCTCTACGGGGGTGAAGGGGACAGGGGGGAGCGAAGGGAAGAGAGGACGATGGAAAGAGGAGGAGATGAAGAGGACGGAAGAGTCAGAGATGCTCGCGAAGATAAATCGAAAGAGCAGTGATGGTATTACAGCTGTCTCCTGGAAATTATGGTTATATGTGGCTGATTTACAGCAGCAAATATGCTTGGAGAGACGCTTTTATCAACATGACAAAATGTTATCGATCTTATCTGGCGAGTCACGAAATGTTGATCCTGCACATATCCGCGCTAACAACGTGCTGTATTTAATTTGTTATCCTGCGGTGTCCGCTATTACAACCTGATAAATGCTTGTACGACTCAAACGTGATCATTTTTATGGTTATTTCTAAGCAGCTGCAGCATTTAATAAAAGAAAAGTTTGTTTTTTTTCCCGGACGACTCGTAAGAACTAAACAAAGTTATTAGTCCTGAGCAAGAAATAGTCTTGCACTTGAAATTTGCACTTCAGCTTTTGCAGTCAAACCAGACAAGGCTGCGTGAATGAGGTTTTTGTGTGTCATCTTGGTTGTTGTTTGTATGCAACATCATCCACTGTGTTACTGCAAGACTCCAGACTGTGCATCCCTGTTTTCTTGCTCATTCCCAGTCTTTGTGCTAAGCTAAGCTACGTATTGACATGAAAGTGGTATTGATCTTTTCTTCTAGGTCTTGGAAAGAAAGTGAATCAGAATATTTTCCTGCCTTTTGTTTGTTTTAAGTTAGGAAAAGATGGCCTCAGGAGAAAGTAGAAAAAGTTAACTTTCTAAGCACTTAACCAAATCAACAGTGTTTCCTAGCCTGTACTAAAACTCCGATGCATTATGTGCCCATGGTCTACCCCCATCTGACAAGCATGCAGAATACAAATGTGTGTGCTTTGCTAATGTTGCTAATCAGCAATAAAAACAAAGTACAGCAGATGGTGATTGGATTGCCATTAGTTTTACAGGCTTGTAGTCATAAAGATGGTTTAGAATTTTGACTTTAGGATGGCACAAGATGAAAAGTCATGACAGGGAGCATGAATGCCAGTACCAGAATTCATGGCAAACCATTCGATAGCCGAGACATTTCATCAAAACCTACAAATGTCAACCTCATGGTATCAACGGAAAACTGAGAAGATCCCCGAAATTCGTGAGGTCATTCTTTGAAGACTTCAAATGTTGGTACCAAATTGAATGGAAATGCATCCGAAAGCTGTTGAGATGTTTTAGTCTAGACTTCAGACTTGATGAGACAAACCAACAGACATATAGATGTTGCCGTCTGTAAAATCTATTCTCTTTCATTATAAATATATTCATACAGAATACATCTAATATCTAGTAGCCTTCTTTTTTTCCTCTTGACATGTCTGCAAAGGTTTCTTGTTCTTTGTGCTCCGTCTAAGGCTAGAATCAAGAAAGAAAAAAAAAAAGTAACAAAATACACATGCATGAGGGAACTATAGACGACAACATTTTATACTGTGTGGAGAGAAAGTCAGTCTACAGTTTACAAGGACAGCCTTCATCATCTCAGTGAGACGCACTGAACTCAGCGCTCCCAGTATAGCCCGTGTTTGGGTCATTCTCTCTTTACAAGAGGCCAGAACAGTTCATGCTGTAACACAATTTATTTTGCAATGAAATACAGAAATTGCACTGGGTAACGGTATAAAATGTGTTGCGGCGAAAGCTGCCTTCCAGTCAGGAGGCAGATGCACCCTGTCTGCATGACGAATAGCCGTCACTGCTAAGACTATGAGCGGAGAGCACAGATGTGTCATCCTCCTTATCACCAGTCATGCAGGTACAGGGACCATAGTGGTTCAGTCAAGGGCGTCGGAGCAGATCCAGATACAGCCCTCCAGATAACACTTAACCCTTTCTCTCTCTGACCACTCCCGTCCCTTTCTGATGAGGTCACCGCTGCCTCCACTGACCTCTAAAGGTGACTTCTCAGGGTGACATCACCAACTAATGAACTTTAAGATTCCTCTTTTTAAAAACTATTTTCATTGTTCCTTCCTCTCTTCTTTCAGTGTCTCATGCTCTCCTTCAGTGCTGATGTTTGGTAATATTAGTAATCCTATACTCAGACTGCAAGCTCCGGATAAATTGCAACTGTGATCATCCTTAAGCTCAGATTTGCTGACGAACACATACAGCTAGAAAGCTAATACGTGTGTCGAGATAGTCTGGTACCACACATACATACAGTGGCGTCCAAGAGTCTGAAACCACAGGAAGGTCTGGTATGTTTTCACGTAAACGTAAAAATCAGAGAGTTCAATGATTTCAAACATATATAAAACCCAAGAAGTCGTGTTATGTGAAATAAAGAAGCTATATTAAGATTCTGCGCCATTTCTCAGTCATATTTAACCACATTTGTTACATTAAAGGTTGTGTTCCTTCCATTGAAACACACGGTCGGATAACACTCGATTCCATTTTCTCATCAGAAGCTTTTTCAAGTACATCAGCTTGCAGCCATAGTTCGTCTGTGCCTCAATAGTAAGAAACATGGTGGCAAGTGAACGTGTCAGAGGTCAAACTGCTCTGAAAAAAACAGGGACTTTCTCAACATCGAATAATGTTAAAGGTTTCTAAGAGGGCACACATGGCTTTCTAACATACTCTGCTGAAACCAGGTAAGTACATAAAGGTTTGTTCCCTGAGATAGAAATGCTGCTTCAATAAACAAGACTAAAATCAGGAAAAGTCCTGCTGAAAGAAAGCCGTTCAGAGGTGGATACTCAGAGGAGGACTAGTGGTCTCTAAACCACTTCTTAGGGGGTAAAGCGAGGCCCATCAGCAGTTTGAGATTAATGGTAGAGTAGCATATCAAACCAAGAGTGCAACATGGTGATGGGAAGATCCCATTCTGGGTTATTTTTTGCTACTTTGGAGGAAGACGTCTGCACCAAGAAGAAGAAGTAGCACGACATCCTAAGGAAACATGACACACATTTGGTTTTGTGAAGAAGGATTCCTTCTGGAGCAGGATAATGAGTCCAAACACACCTCAAAGCTGCCCAAGGACAACGTGAAGACCTGACTTCAGCCGCATAGAACAAAGATAAGCAGTCCAACATCACAAGAACCTTTTTGGAACATTGTCAGATCAGGCTGGGGTAACATGAGATATCAGGTTTTGCAGAAACTTTGGGGAGACTATGGCAGCTTAAAGGAGGCATTCCAAATACGATATTGTGAAATTCATGTTCATATTTCAGAAATCCAACCTGTTACTCTAATTATTGAGCTGACATTATCACTTTTGCATTAAATTCAAAGCAAATTCTAAACAAAAGTATATTCATTGGTGGTCTCAGATGCTGAAAAGCTTGAAAATTTCCATCTTCTTTTCACTGAAACTAAAGTAAATCTGAGATGCAGGACATCAGAAGGTGACATCATGATTAAGGTCATTTATTGCCCCTCATTTTTATTGGTCACATCACCCACTTTCATCATCTCTGCTCTTCCTCTCTCCCCCCTTCATTTCATCATCCTGTATTACTGCCCTCGTGTAAAAGCGACACCGGACAGATGCCGCGCACGTATAAAACCGAAAAGACCCGTATAACTTAAAGAGATGCGGAATTTGAAACCAAGGGATGAGAAATTACATAGGGTGTATGGCAGCTTTTCACAAACAAATTGTGCCTTCATCTTTGATGTCTGGACTGGCAATACAGCCGCAAAAGTGGTGTCATAGCTGTAAGGTTGCATGCTCAATAAATTCCTTGACAGGTAGTTAACTTTAGGGGTTGGGGAGGGCTGAGGTGGCTTCAAACAGCTGTACTGGTCATTTTATATTTTATGGTAAAGTCCGTCGCTGGGATCTGACAGTCAGTCAAAGGTTAACCAAAAATAGCTTTGCTGCAGAGGGGAAAGTGTTGCACTTCAAAGGAAGCCTGTAACACCGCATTAGCATAATGTCCTATATGGCTGTGATTGAAAGAAAATGGGCCACTTTCGCACATACCTCTGTGAAC